AGATAAAACAATTTACCACAACAGACCAGACATCACACTCATTGACAAACACAATAAAATCACATACATTATAGACATAGCCATTCCAAACACTCACAATGTACAAAACACATGAACTGAAAAAATTAGCAAGTACACAGAACTTGCCCAGGAAATAAGGCATCTGTGGAGGATGGATAGGGTGCTTATTGTACCTGTCGTTCTCTCCTATACAGGTGTGACAAAAGCCTGGAAACATTACAATTGAATAGAAATACATACATAACACTACAGAAGGCCACTATATTGAATACATGCTATATTGTTAGGAAATTCCTGAATACAGACACTGACACACTTATATAATTTTAGTTTTTGGTTGCTATGCTTTGACTGGTCCGGCATAGCCACCAGTGTGAACCGAGTAAACCCACTAAATCCAACATAATAATAATAAACATTTGTCATCAAAACTAAAAAAATAAAAATATTTTATTTTCTATATAATTATAACAATATATTTAAATAATTTAAAACACAATAATTCACCATTTAATGTAACTCCTGCTTGAGATTCTTCTTGAAACACAGGATCAACACTAACACATTTCATACTTCCATCCTCTTGCAAAACCTAAATAAGAAAATTGACAAATATGCATATGTATAATATTAAATTATTCAAATAAGATTTTTAAAAATTTATATTTCAAGACAATACAATTTTTCTTTTAATAAACAGTGGCAGAAATTAAGAAGCTTATTTTCTGGATATAAACAATAGGCTAATCAGTAATAGAATGGAAATAGCAGTATTCCACAAATCAATGTACTGCTCATTCTATTCCAGTGGCATCCAATGATCTGTGTCCCTAAAAATTGGCAGCATTTAGATCATTATTTAAAAGAGCATTCATGCATTGCTCAAACATTATCAATACTAATAAAGAATTGGAATACATTAAAGATGTAGCCTAAGTTCATGGATATAGCATTGTTCTGATTCTAATAAATAATGTCCAGATTATTATTCATATATAAATATCCAGCAGCGAAAAAACTCATGAGCAAACACATGAACAAAAGCAAGTCAAAGTAATTTTTTCTCTGCTCTATTGTCTACATACAAACAGATAACAGGATACACTAAAACTAGATTAATATTTAGATGCAACCTACCATCTTTAGATTGCTTTCAAACTTTAGTGTTTTATAAATAAATATCAATCTAATAACAACAGAGCACCAAGGATAGACACAGTACCCCTATAAGACAGCAGATTTGATAGAAATCTCACATAGGAGGGTCCACCAAACATTGAGCACAAGTATGACTTTTCTAACTACAAACTATCAACAGCACTAGCTCAATATGCATGTGAGTTCAGGGTATCAGTAAACTGGAAGGAAGCAAAATTAATTAAATCAAGTTTTAATGTGCAAAAACTCACAAAACTAGAAACTTGGGAAATCTTTAAGACCACAATCAAGGAAAATTGTACAAATAGCAAGGATGCCAAAACTAAGTCCACTGCTTGAAAATTGCTTGTGGATAACCCATTAAGCAATATTACATAAATGGAAAAAAAAAAAAAACATAAAAATGGCACATTTTACATTTAGCTATGACTGACTATTAGAACTATTTTAAAACTTTTTATAAATATTATTATAAAAATTTTTTACCGTATTTATTTCATATAAATTTAAATATAAATTTTTGATGAATTGATAACAAGAAACTTTGTAACCAATTTTGATTTCAAAATATGAACTCAGTTATAGCAGTAACATAAAAGAAAATATTTAGAACATTCTGGAACATAGAATTTTCAGCTTGCTCTCAATTTTCTTTGATGTAAGCCTGAAGTGGGTCCTAAATGGAGCCAAAAACATTTGCTTAGACTATAATTTGGTATACAAGAATAACTGTTATACAGCTGGGAAAATAAAATTGTTTGTAAGTTATTTTGTTAATAATTCCAGTTTCAGTAGAACTTAGCAATATGTAATAATATCCAAAACTTCTCAGCCTGATTAATTTTGCACATGCACTGAAAAACATGAATGGCAATGCTGTAAAGTGTAACATTTACATTTTTATATTCTTGTTTCCAAATATCAGATAAAGCAGCTTAATATAACCTGTATGTAGTATGTTGAGTTTTGAGTATCATGCAGTGATAAAGTTCTTGACAAAAAGGAAGTCAGATTCCATCAGAAATTCACAAACTGCTTCATAATATGTACAGTGATGCTTCTCCATCATATTTGATGGTAAAACAATGAGGAAAAGTTTTTAACTTGGAAGAGAATCTCTCAACGATGACCATGCAGTGAATGCACAACCAAAGACATCACTGAAGAAAGCATCACACTTGTCAAGGAGTAAGTGCTTTCCAATCAATGTTTGAAGACAAAAGAAATTTTTGCAAGATTAAACTTATTGAAAACAACAGTTCTTCATATTCTTCATAAACATTTGTTAATGAATAAAATCAGTGCACTATTGATGACAAAAATTCTTTCCACAATTCATGATCAACTGTGCTCGACAGATTTTGGAGCTCTGCAATGAAAACAATGAAGTTAGGCAGTCCATCGTCACCAGGGATGAGACCACAGTTTTATAATATAAACCTCTGTTCAAAAGAAAAATTGATGGAATGGTGCCATGCATGGAAATCTCCTCCAAAGAAACCAAAAGTGTTGCAGTCAACAAAGGTTATGGCAACAATTTTCTGAGATCACAACAGCATTTTGTTGATCAGGTTCAAGGAGAGAAATTAAACAGTGAATGCTAAATATTATGCCAACCTGATGGTAAAACTCTGGGATGCCATAAAAGAGAAAGAGGGGTAAACTTTCAAAAGGTGTGCAGCTTCTGTATGACAATATACCCATTCACACTGCATTTTGCACTGAATTTGCATGTTAATGAATACAGTTTCATCAAACACTCTCATTCACCATACAGTTCCGACTTGGCAATGAGAGACTACTATTTGCTCTCAAAATTTAAATCTGACCATGGACGAAAATTTAACAGCCAACAAACAGGTCACGGCAGCTGTTTTGAACATTTTGAAGGCAAACACAAAATTACTTTTCTAATAGTATAAATTTGAAATTTATACAATTATGAAAAATCTATTGCAATAAAAAGAAGCTGTATTGAAAAATAATATACACCTCTTATTTATTTGACATTTCTTTCTTACTCAAGCCAAGAACTTTTGGATCTTACAACATATATTTAATGTCATTTGTTCTATCAAACCTACTGGTAATTTATTAACCTCACTTTTTGTTCTTTAAAAAATTTTTGCTTCCTTACTTCTTTATGTTAATTAGTAGTTAGCTAACTACTAATTAACATAAAGTTAGTTAATCTAAGCACTGTGTTAAAAGTTATTTTTTAATTTTTGCTTTTTTTTGTTGTTTAATTAATGCCATTTTAAATATTAAGAATCTTATATTCTAATTATCTTTACTGTGAAATTATGTTCAACTTATTTTGGTGTTCTACATCAAAAATGCTGATTGTTAGGTTCTGAATGATCTTGTAATTGGAATGTTTAGAAATTATTTTAAATTATTTTTATTCAAACAGCAGCTGTTATTCATTTTTTTTTTGTTAGATTCTCAATTTTGTTAGGATCTGTCAGAGATATAACAGTCTGAAAAAAATTTTATCAAGCAATCAAAAACTAAGGAGACTCGATGAAAGTGATTAATATAGTATCTTATTGATGACATAAAATCTAGTCACCTATCAATTTGATAATTCAACTTTAATGCTTTTCTTATTAACATTGTTTATACTTGTATATAAATTAAATAAAATTTACATAAAACATTGTTAATAACAAAAGTAGTAAAGTTGAATTGTGAAATATGAAGTTAACTTTTTTCGTTGATTATTTGATAATGGAAGAATGTAACTATTTATAGCTATCTGTTTATATTTTAGTACTTATGTTATTTTAGAATAGATAATTTTACCAGAAATTAAAGGTTCAGCAGTACATGTACCAGTAATTAGTCTAGAAGTTTGTTTTGAATAGATAATTGTTTTATTCTAAACTTACATCCCTGGAAGAAGATTAAACTAGAAATCTTTTTTCTTCCAATAAGAGACATAATTTTGTAGCAGACACTGTTACAAAACTTACATCTTTAAAAAACTGAATAATTTAACACACATTAAAACAAACTTATACAGTAATACCTCGACTTACGCTACCCCGACTTACGCAAACCCGGAGTTACGCGATTTTCAAATCTCGTCGATTCGTCTTTTGTTTGAGTGCCACGCAACTCCCGATTACTCATTCCCCCCACACTATTGTTCGGCTTACATGTTCGGACGTGTTGCGCGGAATCGACACATGGCTACAATTTATTTTGTGTTATTTATTTCTATGTTTGTGATATCTACGGAGACTCGAGAGACTTTATGTGGTGATTTCTTGTAACCGTGAACGAATCAAAAGACGAGATAAGATTAACGAGAACGTTTATTAGCTTACATACATCCGACTTGGATTTTACACAAATTGCGAAATTATACCCTGACTTACGCGAATTCGACTTACGCGGTTATCGCTCGGTCCCACCTATCGCGTAAGTTCAGGGTACCACTGTATATGAAAATATGATTAAAGCTAAAATGATTATTCTGAATAAAAATTTAATTTGTTAATATATGTGAATATAATTTTGATATATTATTATATTATAAAGTTAAAACATATTTCTTTACCTGGAATTTTATGGATGGTGATGTTTGTGGTAAAAGGGTAATATTTCCTAAAACAACTGATTCTACTGGCATAATAGATATAACACCAACATCAACAGCTGTTAATGGAATATTTGTTACATTTGAATCTTCTAAATTTGCTTTTGATTCGTTCTTCTCTAAGTCTGCAGGTTTCTCTATTTCTGTAGCATAACTTGATGAAACAATAGGAATTGATGATATTGGTGAATTAGAAATAGCATTAACAGCAGACTTTGTCACAGTCTCTTCAGATGTAGAAGTGCATTCTGTTTTTCTTTCAATATTCATAAAATCATCAGTTGTACAACGATTTTTATTATTTTCATCATCACAATGTATATTATTATTTTCCAATACCACTTCACAGTTCTTTAATAATTTTACTGTTTTACCAGAATTTGATTCTTGAAGCAAATTGTTACTTTTCCTTTGTGTATCTGAACATGTACTATTCTCCTCATTTTGGTTTTTTAAAGATGTTACAAATATGTCATCTACTATTTCTGAAGTTTCAGAAAATATTGAAACTTTAGGAACAATAACATCTAACAATATTCTATCTTGTAAATGACTTTCATTATCCAAACTGATTTCTTTTGCATTATCAGATAATAACGGTGAATTACAAAATCCATCTAAATCAATATCAACATTATTTTTTTCTAAATTTAATTGTGAAAAGTTTATTTCTTTTTGAGATGAAATTTCATTTGTATTATAATCGGTAATATTCAGGAATTCAGTTGGACTGATATTTTTCAATATATGAGATGCAGATAACAACTGATCATTTTGCGATGGCATTTCTTCACTATCTAACACTGTCATCTGATCCACAATTAATGATTTTTGATTAATATAATTATCATTTGTTTCATTTTCACATTCAACTGGAGTTGTGGTTTTATCATTTATTTTAGTAGCAGTTTTATCATTTACTTTGTCTATATTTTCAGAACTAATAGATTCATTACCATCATTACATTGTGATGATACAATATACTGAATTCCATTTCTCAACTGAGGTAAAAATTCACTATGTAAATTATGAACAACAATAATGGGATGAAATGACAAGTTATTTGCTGAAACACAGATGTTTTTATTATCTGATTGGGTTGGCAATATAGGAGTTTGTGCTTCAATCATTAATGTACAATCATTTTCTACATTTTTTTCGTACATATCCATTATTCTTTTTTGTTTATTTATTTACCTATTTAGTAACAGCATACAAGCCATTGTCTTCCTCAAACTTACATTATTGGCATTGTGTATAAATCTGAAAATAAAAATAATATACTGAAAAAAATCATAAAAATTTATTATATAACTATTATAGATTATAATAGTTTTTTAAAATTTTCTGAATTAATTAGATCATCAAAAATGAAATAAACTAAATGATAAAACAATTATTGAACTACAGATATATTTTAAGAATATATATAAACTTTTATTCTAAAAAAAAAAAAAAATGCTACTTTTGGTACATTAAGGAACTTTTGACACATCTTAAAAATACAAGACTTCTTAAAGTTGACATACAAAAGTGGCAAAATTAAGATGACAATCAGTATCAACAACCATTTTTACCAATTGTCTCTTTTGATCTTCATAATAAACAAAGCTAATTGTGTAAGCCTGTTCTTAACATTTGTCGTCATCTTACCTTTTTACCCATGTGCCTGTAATAATACAGTTTTATTACTTTGATATAATTTTTTATTTTGAAAGTTTCAGAATAATTGTTATCAATTATAAGAATTAGTAAATATGTGGTTTACAAAACTTCATAAATATTTTTTGTTTTTAATTGCTATTTTAGTAATTTATTATAAGATGAAAAGAGATTATAAATATTTTTAAATAAATGGTAAATCAAGTGAAAAATGAAAGGGTGATTCTGGTGGAATTTCTTGAACCTGGATAAACCATAATGCTGTTCAGTATGTCATGATACATCATAAGTTCTGTTGTGCATTGCTTATTATAAAGGCTAATAAATGCTGATAAATGTCCTGAGATCATCCTGCAGCATAACAATGCAAGGCCACCACATTGCTCGTTACACCATACAGGAAATTCAAAAAATGTGGTGGAAGTTCTTCCACATCCTGCCTACAGCCCTGATTTGGCACCCTCTGATTATAATCTTTTTGGTACTGTGGAAAAGAACATGCAAGGCCAACACTACAAAACAGTGGAGGACATCAAGAAAGCAGTGTATCAGTTTTTTTGAATTTTTTGAAGGGAATTTTCAAGTTCCCACAACAGTGGGAAAAATGTATACAAAAAAATGGAGACTGGAAAAATAAAGAAAAGTCTGAAAAATAATGTAATGTATTTGTTTTTCCAAAAATAAATAAATCCAACTTATAAAAAATTGTTACTCATGACTTCCAGTATGACCCTCATATATAAAATACATGGCTGTTTGCATTCAAAATCATATTTCAATTTGTTTTTAAAAAACACTATAAGAACAATAATAAAATGTTCAGTTTGAATCTTCTTTATGCATTAAACCCAACATAGACCTATAAAAAGGGTCTAAAACATTAAATAAATTATAGTGTTGCTAAAAAGTATTTAAGGTATCGTTGAAGTTTAATTAGTTTCAGCTTATATATACAGTATAATAATAATCTTATGATAAAATATTTTATGTGATAGTTATTAGAAATATAGAATCAATAATGTTGAAAATGAAACTTTTTTAGGTTTTCATTTGTATAAAATTATATTTTTTCAATTCTAAAAATAAATTATAAAGCAATTGATATTTTTAAAATATCAACATTAACTGGAATAAATAAAAATCAGAATAAGCAAACTTGTTTATGAAATATTTGCTGTAGATCTACGGTATAGAAATTAAAGAAAGAAAAGTGAACAATTCCAACATTTGAAATGAAACACTAAGTAAAATAATGTCTTTAAATATTAACTGAATATTTATTATAAAAATATATAATTTATTCAAATATTTTCAACAATTTATTGCAATTAATAATACTTGACTAAATATTTTGAAAAAATAAACAAATAAATAAAGAGTAAAATATTTCAAAAATATTTTATCTTTTTACTCTCACTCAAGATATTTTTTAAATCATTTCTGTTTATAACATTATGAAAAACTTATTTCATTTTATAACAGATTACCAAATTTCCAAATTTAATTTTGTTTATGCAAATTAATATTGTCAAGTGTTATATAATTATCAATAATCATCATCTTTCCACCAGAAAATTATTGTTCAAATTATTCCCTATTAAAAATGAAAGTACATTTATAAAAATACTACTACTAAAGTAGAATTAGGAAAACTTTTGAGTATTCTATTTTATTTGAACAAAATATGAAGCAAAATTACAAACATACAGTAGAACCCCTCTAATCCGTCATCTTTGGGACTGGGGGTATGGTCGGAACGCATAAAAGGTCGGATTATCAGAAAAAAGTAGAATAAACAATCTTCCCCTTTGTCCAGTCTTTGTAGCACTGCTAATTTTTCATTTAATGAAAGAGTAACGTGTTTACGTTTCACTCCTGACATACTGAAAAACAANAAAATACATGGCTGTTTGCATTCAAAATCATATTTCAATTTGTTTTTAAAAAACACTATAAGAACAATAATAAAATGTTCAGTTTGAATCTTCTTTATGCATTAAACCCAACATAGACCTATAAAAAGGGTCTAAAACATTAAATAAATTATAGTGTTGCTAAAAAGTATTTAAGGTATCGTTGAAGTTTAATTAGTTTCAGCTTATATATACAGTATAATAATAATCTTATGATAAAATATTTTATGTGATAGTTATTAGAAATATAGAATCAATAATGTTGAAAATGAAACTTTTTTAGGTTTTCATTTGTATAAAATTATATTTTTTCAATTCTAAAAATAAATTATAAAGCAATTGATATTTTTAAAATATCAACATTAACTGGAATAAATAAAAATCAGAATAAGCAAACTTGTTTATGAAATATTTGCTGTAGATCTACGGTATAGAAATTAAAGAAAGAAAAGTGAACAATTCCAACATTTGAAATGAAACACTAAGTAAAATAATGTCTTTAAATATTAACTGAATATTTATTATAAAAATATATAATTTATTCAAATATTTTCAACAATTTATTGCAATTAATAATACTTGACTAAATATTTTGAAAAAATAAACAAATAAATAAAGAGTAAAATATTTCAAAAATATTTTATCTTTTTACTCTCACTCAAGATATTTTTTAAATCATTTCTGTTTATAACATTATGAAAAACTTATTTCATTTTATAACAGATTACCAAATTTCCAAATTTAATTTTGTTTATGCAAATTAATATTGTCAAGTGTTATATAATTATCAATAATCATCATCTTTCCACCAGAAAATTATTGTTCAAATTATTCCCTATTAAAAATGAAAGTACATTTATAAAAATACTACTACTAAAGTAGAATTAGGAAAACTTTTGAGTATTCTATTTTATTTGAACAAAATATGAAGCAAAATTACAAACATACAGTAGAACCCCTCTAATCCGTCATCTTTGGGACTGGGGGTATGGTCGGAACGCATAAAAGGTCGGATTATCAGAAAAAAGTAGAATAAACAATCTTCCCCTTTGTCCAGTCTTTGTAGCACTGCTAATTTTTCATTTAATGAAAGAGTAACGTGTTTACGTTTCACTCCTGACATACTGAAAAACACACAAAACTGTATACGTACACACAATGTAAAACATATACTGTAACGAACACAGAACAACGCGAGTTACTGACGAGTCGGGACAAGTTTCTCGACTCCGACCACGGTTGGATTAACCGGAGCGACAGACTAGCTGAGGGCAGACTAGAGGGGTTCTACTGTACAGTTTGAAATGAATCATTTTTAAATATATATTAAAATTTTTACAAAAATTAACTTTTTAAAATAAATTTTTTCAAAGCAAAATTATATACAAACCATTCCATTATAGTGTATACAATTATTTTACTTAATGCTGTAAAATAAAACTACCATTTTTAAAAAATTTACTTTCATATTTTTGTTTAATTATTTCAAATGTCATTGTACAATAATTAATTTTAAACATTGTTAAATTTTGTAATAAAATTTTAGGCACAGAAATAATTAAAATTATAAAACAGGTAATAACATGTTATATAATTTTAATGAGCAAATATGTTTATTTTAAGGCAGGTGTCCTCAAAGTGGTTGATAAAGCTTTTTCAGGAGTCAAAAATCAGTAGGGGTCGATTGAAAATGATTCATTAAAACCTGAACTAACATTCAACGGATTGTACAGTATATATATAACAGTGGCATGCTGTAACATTTGATGATAGAAAAGATGCATTTCCATAAAAATTTTAAACAAATACTTGAAATGACAAAAAATAAACAGTTTATTTACTTTAATTCTAAAAAGATAACTGACATGAAACAAGGATATAAGAACTTGTTTTTATTATTTTTTATTAACTAACTCTATTCCGCAATTTTTTCTGCAAAGTCGTTAATTACTTTATCATAAAAATCGCTTGTCATCTATTCCATCAAAGTATTTAAAAGCTCTTTTTCTATTGAAAGTAATGCTAACAACAACAATCTTTCTTCTGACTAAGTGTTCCTTACAAATGTATCAATTCACTTCGTGGTTGAAAAATTGCACTCAACAGATGCACTGGTAGATGGTACCGTAAAAATTAATGATATTAAATCAAATAATTCTTTTAGCACATCTTTGCTTAGATCATCATTAATTATAATATTTTTTATGTCTAAGAGTGATTTGCTAATATAGTCTGAACACGAATATAAATATTGCAATTCACTACATAATTTAGATAAATCAAAAAGATCCTCCATAAATTTTACTTAAAGAATTAAAACTCACTTCGGAAAATTGTTTTTCATAATATTTAAAATTATTAACATCTAAAAGTGATAAAAATTCTAAAAATTTTATGTCTGAAAATCTGTCAATATAATTATAATTAAAAGAAAATTGTAATTAAATATAGCTTTGTAAAGAAATGTACATAAAAATAACATTGAATATTCTTCACTTTTTAAATCTTAAAACAATGCACTTAGTCAAATAGCTCCCTATGAATGCCTAATGAATGGAATCATTGGAAGTGTTATACAATATTTTGGTGCATTGCATCCACCAGCTAAACCACCAAAGGTTAGTGCTCTGTAAAGCACATGCACAAATGCATGTAATCTGGATGCTTTACACGATTCAGATATTTTTGCCATGGAAACTCCCATATTCGACAATACAGAGTTTCCATTAAGAATATGCATGTATATGCATATTCTTAATGGAAACTCTGCATATGCAAATTTATATTCAAATATACAATAGCAATCTTGTCATTGTTTTTCACATGTAAAGAAATTTGTAATAAAATACATAATGCCATTATAATAAAATATTAATTTTAAGTATGTATTTATATTTTCAAAAATACAAGGGAAGCGGCACTTCCACAGCTTCAATGGACAGAACACCACTGATATATAACAGCTCAGAATGGTGTAAATTTGCCAAGTATATACAGTATTTACTATGAAAACAGATTAATACTGGCAAATTAAATAGATTAATAAATCTGATGAAACTTATTATTATTAACTATATTAGCAAAATAATAAAAAAAAAAGTGGATAAAAAAGTCAAGGAATCCTCAAAGGGGCCAAAAGTGAAAAAAGTTTGGAGTCTCCTGTTCAAAACTCTATACTACATTTAACATTTCACAGTTCACTCTAGAAATTTTTTAAAGTTCCAATCACAACAAACAGTTCCAATTAAACCAAAAGTCTTATCAATACCTCTGAATTTAAAAATTTAATGATCCATCCAAAATTAATTTTTGCAAATTTCTAATATACAAAACTAACAAATTTATATTAAATTAAGCCAAATACAATTTTTCTTAATGAAACAATCAATCATAATATAATCGTTTAAAAATAAATAAATAATCCTGTAAATCTAGAAGTTATTGGAAAGAAATATCATATTCAATATTAAGTCATTTCAAATATTTATATTATATAATATATATTAACAGAAATACATATATTTTCATTTTAAATCATTACTTCCAGCCATTCGGCTGTATATACAGATCGATTTCAGAGAATGTCTTAGCATATACATTATTTAATTTCTTTCAAAAACAGAAATCTAAAAATTTATTTTAAATTCAACAGAAGATAAAATAGTTAAAATATTTGACGAAAAAACATTTCTATCCGCAAAACTGCAGCTTACATCTTTTATAAAAATTTTCCTACATCTTTAGCCACAATCTAATCGGTTTCTAACCATCCGAGGATAAAATTGGTTTTAGGATAGCGAAATATTGTTTGATAAAATATATTCGCTTCCTTGGAAATGACCGTATTTACTCTTTCGTAATGAATACCGGATTAGGAGTGATAAAACCTTTTCAAACGAACCGGTATTACCTGCGAAGACCTTACTTCCTCCGCGGATTTACAGGAAGATCATTGAGCACCTACAAACACTACGCTGCTGCCCTCTGTATTATTTCGCATTTGTAAAATGAGGAATAATATATTTTATCTTTGAATTGAATGAAATCGTGCAGTTCAATATATAAAATATATAATTTACATATATAATATAAAATATAATTCGATTTAGAAAATAAAAGAGCAAAAAGAAAAATTTTTGATTTTTTTTAACTCTTTCCGCCCTGTGGGCATTTAGAGGGCGTTTTTTTTTTTTTTTAAGATTATTATGGGTAGTATGGGCACAATCAATGTATTGATGTTAAATTGATTTGTAGTTTATTATAAAATAGGGAGGTAACATTTTATTGAAAATTATTAAAGTTAGCGTTTTAAAACTGTTACTAACGCCCTCCTTTCAAAATATTACATTAATACAAGTGCAACGTTTGCATATTTTAAATATGTGGGAGTAAATATAACATTAAATACACAATAGGAGCTCGCAACAGAATTAATTTTGTAAAATTAAATGTTTTTATTAATAAACAATTTATCATTTTATTTTCGATAATAACATTTTTTTGTTAGTCTATGAATGTACGGTACGTTACGATTCGTATGGATTTTACTGATGTAGCGTATTAGTTATCAGCGAGGTTGAGGCGCAAGCGTGTACGTCGGACGTTCAGCGCAGCTTTCCTGTAAGCCTAGACGTTTGACAATGGTGTTTGGATAGTCAGTGGAATCATGCTCGACATTCCAAACATCGTTGTCAAACTTCTAGGTTCACAGGAACGCGGCGCCGAACGTCCGACGTACACGTTTTCGTGTTTAAAACTTCAGCCTCAACCTCGCTATAATATATATTATAGCGAGTATTATTCTCTAAAACGTGAATGTCGGGCGCCGCTATCTTTTCAGTGGCGCTCGACGTTCGACGTTTACGTTTTAGAGATGAAAACTTCGGCCGCAACCTCGCTATTGACACATTTGGATGGATGGAGACAGGGCCAGAGATTTGCATGAAATTTTTCAGTGATGAATCGATAATTTATTGAGATACGCGGGCAGCACAGAGATTTATTTACATGTTAATTTTTTATTTCTATTGCTATATCTTTGTTTTTTTTTTTTTTGTATATTTGTATTTGTATATATTAATTTGCAGTTATATTTTTCTTTTTCCGTTGTCAATTTTTTAAATTTGAACATATGTGTTGTATTTAATGAAACACCAATCTTGTAATTCTCTCGTTAAGCCCGAGGATGGCCTATAGAGTAAGCCGAAAACGTTAGTTTTCAATAAAACTATCTCGGAGACAAGAAAGGTGTGCTGTGAAAAGCTAATATAATATATGTCTATAGTGAGGTGTTTGACAGTTTTATATTAAGTGATGTATAAAGAATATATTTTAACCGTTTGTTTTTGTATATAAGTTTGTGCGCTGGACATCTTTAAATTTCATTTTTATAATTTTATTTATTAGAAAAAAAGCATTATCTTTAAAAAGTTAAAATAATCCTGTTTCTAATAAATATTATTTTAATAAAATAATCCTTTCTGAAATATTTCAAACCGATTAATATATTTACGTAACATGTGACGTAAAATCATGATGCGATCGTAATACGTCACGCGTTGTTAAAAATATATTCTAACAATACGTAACGAATTGTTACAATGTATTGTTCGTTTTTTTGTTGTAGGTAAACCATTGTAAAGACAGGAGACGCCGACAAAAGGCGGAGAAGGCTCTCTGTGTTCTGAATCATTAAGGCTTGCTTGGGTGAAGGCAGGAGATGCTGACGGGGCGAAGAGAATTCTCTGTGTCACGTTTCGTTAAGGCTCGCTCCAGTAAAGAGGCCTACGAGAGATGGACAGTCCTCGAGTGTCCCGCATAATTAAGGCCCGCTCGGATGAAGGAAAGGCGGAGAATCCGCCTTTCCTCGGAGTCAGTCTTCTGTCTTTACCCGAGCGGGCCTTAAAGATGAGGGACATAGAAAGCCTTCTCCGCCTCGGCATCTTCTGTCTTCACCCGAGCGGGCCTTAAAGATGAGGGACACAAAGAGCCTTCTCCGCCTTTCCTCGGCGTCTTCTGTTTTCACCCGAGCGACCCTTAAAGATGCGGGACACAGAATTTATAGGCCCGCGGGAGTAAAGAGGCCGACGAGAGATGGAGAGTCCACCGAGTGTCCCGCACGTTTAAGGCCCGCTCGGGTGAAAAGGTGAAAAAGGTGAAAAGTAAAAGCAGAAGACTCCAAGGAAAGGCGGAGAAAGCTCTTTGTGTCCCTCATCTTTAAGGCCCGCTCGGGTGAAGACTGAAGACGCCGAGGAAAGGAGAGAAGGCTTTCTGTGTGCCGCACGCATCTTTAAGGCCCGCTCGGGTGAAGACAAAAGACGCCGAGGCGGAGAAGGCTTTCTGTGTCCCTCATCTTTAAGGCCCGCTCGGGTGAAGACTGAAGACGCCGAGGAAAGGAGAGAAGGCTTTCTGTGTGCCGCACGCATCTTTAAGGCCCGCTCGGGTGAAGACAAAAGACGCCGAGGCGGAGAAGGCTTTCTGTGTCCCTCATCTTTAAGGCCTGCTCGGGTAAAGACAGAAGACTCCGAGGATAGGCGGATTCTCCGTCTTTCCTTCATCCGAGCAGGCCTTAATCATGCGGGACACTCGAGGACTGTCCATCTCTCGTCGGCCTCTTTACTGGAGCGAGCCTTAACGAAACGTGACACAGAGAATTCTCTCACCCCGTCAGCATCTCCTGTCTTCACCCAAACAAGCCTTAATGATTCAAGACACAGAGAGCCTTCCCCGCCTTTCCTTGGCGTCTTCAGTCTTCATCCGAGTGAGCCTTAAACATGCGGGACACTGGGAGGACTCTCCACCTCTCGGCCTCTTTACTCCCGCGGGCCTATAAAGATACGGGCTTTCTGTGTCCTGCATCTTTAAGGTTTGCTCGGGTGAAGACAAAAGACGCCGAGAAAAGGCGGAGAAGGCTCTCTGTGTCCCGTAATATTAAATTTCGCGCAGGGCGAGAATTTTTTGTTTTTGTTTATTGAGGTTCGGTATGTATTTGAAGTAAATTTTGTAGCCTTAACGTGCGTTTTATTACGACCTGGCACATTAGTGGCTTTCTCTCTATCATTATTACTAGTTGTAGTAATATTGTATCCATTAGTTTAGATAGTAACGATACGGTGAGTTTCGAATAGTTGAGTTTGAAGTATTCAGAGGAAATTAAAGGTATTTTCATTGTATGAGTTAGGACGAAACTCGACAAGTGATGTCAGTCGCTTATAAAGTTGCATTCTATCCAACTCTTGATGGAACTCTGAAGCAGCCACCTCCACGTGGTGAGTTCTGGGTTGTCGTTCGTCTGCAAATGACGAATGGCAAGCGAAGAGCTGCTTATTTCTTTCAATTGATAATAAGGAATGAATGAAAACATGCCAATAAAAACAGAAATTACAAAAGTAATTAAAGTTAGGAGAATTAAGTATCTAACTTTGGTATAAATCGCTTTAAATTTTGTCTAAGTAATGTTAACTCCTTTGTTTTAATCGTGATCGCGAACTTCGATTCATCCTAGTTCTAAATTATTAAAATATAATACATTTCTAAACTAGAAAGTTTGTTAGTTTTATATTAAGTGATGTATAAGGAATATAATGCAACCGTTCGTTTTTATATAGGCCTATACAGTAAGACCTCGTTTAGCGCTTAGGATGCGTTCCTAGACGACAAAGCGCTAAATGAAATAGCGTTAAACGAAGTCATTTTAACACATAGTAAATAGGAAAAGGAGAAACTACGCGACCAAAAATAAGCAAAGTTTACTTGTGATGGAGGTCCTGTCTGGATCATTCGCTACAATTTAATTAACGATTTCGGTTATCCTTACCGAACTTTCACTAAGGAAATCTATAACAAGTTTCTGGGTTCTTCGTTTTGACAATAATCCTTAAATAATCCTTTGTAAATTAACTGACTTCATGAGTTCAAATATGTTAAAACTAAACGCAAATAAAATAAAATATCTCTGCTTTGTAAATAAAAATAAAATTGTTGATATGGAACAACTTCAAATTGAAATAAATGAAAAGAAGTTAGAAAGAATTAACTGCATAAAATATCTCGGTGTTTTGATAGACGATAAACTCAGATTTGATAAGACACATCGAAAATTTAACAAAGACTGTTGCTAAGTTTACTGGCATAATTAGGAAAATACAGGATTTTCTGAATATAAATACGATAATACGACTAGGCTATATCACACCTGTATAGAACCTGTATAATTATATGGGGAATTACATCCGATTATATCGCAAACCGATTACAAATATAACAACATCATCTAATGAGAGCGATTTTTAAATTAAAGTACTATGAATCAATCTCCTATTGTCATCAAAAAGAAAAAATTGACAGCATACAAACATTATATTATATGCTGGTACAAATATATTTGTTCCAGCAAGTTATCCTCCCTCCCAATGTATTTGTATTTTCTACCATACTAGAAAAAGTATAGTTTTCTCTTTTAAATTTATAAAGCTTAAAACGAATAACAGTCATCTTTTAAATATTATAGAAAATCATCGCAGGAAGGGAACTACTGTAATCGTCAAAATTATAACTTCTTAAAACCCTCTACAAAACTTTCAATAGGACTAACCACTCCAGCTTCCAGAAAAAATGAATATAATTATATACTGTAATGATAAAATACTGGAATTTGTTACATAGAGATAACTGACAAGAAGGAATTTAAATCAAACATAAAAACATCTTCAAAGTAGAAATGTAGGCTAAATCAACAGGTAAATAATCCTGTATATGCATTTCTGCATTAAAACGAAAAAATGAATTTTTTGTTGTTTTCGTTCGTTTATCTTGTATTTTTTCTGACACTTGAAAAAGGCCAATGGGCCATAGTGTCTTTTGATATTAAAGATTAAAGAGAATCACTATTTTCAAGTTCTACACGAATTCCTTGTTCTGTCAGTTTTTGAAGGTCGTCGTTGGCAAAGC